CACGAATAGAAAGGAAAAAACGCACGATCACATCTACGATTGCGAGACAGGACAGCCACGCTTCGACGGACCGATTCATACTGGATTGGCTATTGAATGCATCAAAACTTGATTAGACCTACCTGCAGCGAGCACACTGCCCTCTTCCCCGGAATATAACGCACCCTACAAATGAATGTATACAAGCTATATTTCCGTCCAGATACAGCCAAAATAAAGGTGCGTTGTGTTGGGGGGGAAGACGGGATAGGCGGATTTCCTGCAAATAGGAACAATCGTCAACTTCGGTGGACGACGAGATCTGACCGCTCGTCGCCCGTGCGTCTTGAGGAAGATCCAGAACATCCAGAATATCATCTATGCTGAGAATCGTATTCGTTTTTCTGTGACTGACTTCACTACACATGCAAGAACTACACATCGATACTACGCAAAAATTTTCACAATGCTATGATCGGTGGGCGAGAGATACCCTTCCCCCTTAAGGTGTCAAGGACCCAAAGCCCCTTAAGGTGTCAAGGACCCAAAGCCCGTGAGCTCGCCATTCTTAGTCGGCCCCCCACGGATGACAAACGGAGAGAAATTCTACGGAAGGCAGTCAAGTCAACGTAGTGAAGGTTATGAACCAACAAGCAACATACAAGTGTGATGAGAGTTAAAGCACACGAACGAGAAAGGGATAAGAGATAGAAGAAAGAAGACCGGCGAGCGCAATCGGGGCCCATAAAATATTCAACAAATGAGAGCCAAAGTGAAAAACAAGAAGGCGCGAAGAGCCATAGTCACGAAGTGCACAGCCTGGCGATCTACCCAAAGTAGTCGTGGCAATTTTTTAGTTAATGAGTTCGTTTGGAAGTCCGCGAATAATAGCAACCCAATTGATGAGCGCTTCGACCAATCACTGGGCCCCACACTGATCGAATTGGATCCAATCAAGCAAAGCAATCATCCGACGTCCAGTACTGACGGCTCATCGAGACAAAACCCCATTGTACTAGTACTTGCGCCGTTTCTCCAGAGAGTAACATTCATTCCAACCACAGAGGGAGGGCGGGCTTGCCGCATATATTACAGTAAAGTCATTTCCTTTTCGACCCCCTACTACGCCTTTCGTCAACCACTACTACGACACGTCGCTCGTGAGTATACTGTGGCTGACCAGTTGCTGAACAAGCCAAACCCAACGTCGCCTTGCCATTCATCAGTCCCCCACGTGACCAGCCAGTAGCCCGCCTTTCTGTCGAGTGACCGGCTATCCATCCTTCGAAAGCCTTTGCCAATTCTTCGCGCATCGCCTCACACATAAGGAGAAGGGCCGGAAGAAGGGCCCTTCTTCTGCGCTGGATGAATCCATTCGCTGCGCATTCATCCCTCGAAAGCCTTTGCCAATTCTTCGCGTATCGCCTCACACATAAGGGGATTTCCGCCAGTAAGTTCATCTGTATATGTACATGAGGTGAATCAACAGGCCCCACCTCCGATATATGTATCCAGTCCCATCCCTCTCCCGCCTCCCATCTCGACTTCTTTGCGCTCTTTGATCGCCTCCGAAAATGCCGTCGGCGCCCGCTTCCTATGCCCCCGTCTTTCTCTATGATCCGCTTTGCGCTACTAGCATACTCTATCTACAGCGCAATATGCAATTGAACACCTAACGAAAACCGAGAAGAACACGCACCTAGGCCAGATAGATATTCTGAAGTAATTAACTGCTTTCCAATCAACTGGCGACAATTAGGCCAAACAAACCACAGAAACAATGCTTCAAGATCGCACGCGATTGGTCCAAGGTTGCCGACGATGGGTTCAAGGTTGCACCTGACTGATTGGTCCAACAGGGCTTGCACCTGATTGGTTCCACATTGCACGTGATTGGTCCAAAATTGCACCTGACTGATTGGTCCAAGATTGTATACAAGCAACCTGTCTGGTCCTGTACGGCCACTTTGAGGGTCCTTGCCTTCCATCAATCAAGCCGTCAATCTCAAAGATCGAACAAGCCCATTCACCGTCGATTTTCAAGGAAACAATCGATCGTGTCTTACCCCTTTTTAACATAAGAACTGGACTGCTTGCACCGGCCAGCTTGTAAGTTTATCTCTCTTACCCGTTAAATATCGCACTCGTCGACTGGACCCAACGACACTGTGGGATCGTTGCCTGCAATGACGCCCAAGATCAGGACTGCATTGCCTTACGTCTATCCCTCGCGTTGTGGTCTACATCGAGGAGCACACCTTCGTAAGGCACTTGAAAGATGACACCCATCACTTTGGAATTGTCTTGAGTACCGCTTTGCCCGACCTCTCTCTCTCTCTCTCTCTCTCTCTCTCTCTCTCTCTCTCTCTCTCTCTCTCTCTCTCTCTCTCT